GGGGGGGGGACCGCCCTGATCGAAAATCCTGCTTTTAGCCACTCACTCCAATAAGAAATCATATATACGTATAATAAAGTATTTTGACCATTTAATAAGAAATCATATATACATATAATAAATGTTTCTTTATGTTTTCAAGATTATGTTGAGATTTGGCAGTTGGGCTGAAGAGAGACTACGTTGGACAAGACTTGACGGAGGATCGTGTGATAATAGAAGTTAAGATGAAAAGTGTAATAAAAGATTTGGACCTTTCGTAACGTTTAGTTAGTGTTGATTTAATGTTTCAGATTAAGACTAAAATAACCCATGAATTAGCTAGAAGGGTATTTCTATTTGATCATCAATTATAATTGATCCAAGGATGAAGATCTCTTCTTACTATACCCAACTCTGGCAAACTTTGGGAATTTATATAATGCTTTCGTGTTTTATCTGATATCAATGATTAGTTATCTTTTAAGTATTTAGCAAAGTGAAAACAAAATTACAAAATTGGTTGATTTGGTTTGGCGCAGGTTTAAGGTTCTCATACAACGCCTGATCTACGGAAATGTCTACCAATACTAGAAGAGTGCTCCGGAACGTGTTACCCAGCGTCAAAGACAAACACAAAAATCTATATCCAACGCAAATATCTTTTTCCAAACCGCAATCTAAAAACATATTGCAAGTTACTCATGTAGTTTCGTTGGTTAAGACCATCTTCAATGGGATCACCCCGTTTCTTACGCCAAATTTCGTGTGCTAATATGATTACCGGTAAGAGTCAACACTCTAACTTGGAGGTCGTTTACTAAATATTTACACGGTTAAGCGCTTACTTTGTCATTTTACCTTACCAGATGAACATGACAAGAATTGAGAATCTTACCCGGAAAGAGAACGATGACAAGAGCAGAGAATTTTACACTGTAAGTGAGGGTGACGATTTACCCGATTAGTGCTAAACAGACAAATTCTTGCATAAAATGTCATTTTAATGAATTAGAATCGTTCCCGGTAAGGTAAATAAGAGTGTTTACTCTTACTTGTAAGATTGTAGTATATCAAAATGGTATCGCCTGCAACAATTTACGACAAAAACATTTAGTAAATAGCTCGTTAGTATATAATTTTGCAAATCCAAAGAAAGACACAAAACTCAACGAAAACAACAAAACCTGGGACCGATTGCATCATGATTGTAGGATCCCACATTGGTTAGATAGAGAAACTAAGATTGCCTAATAAGGGCTAAATAAATCTCCTACAAAACGCATTTTAAAACCGTAAGTCCACATGTGAGGACAATTCTGCATGCTTTTGATTTCATTCATATCGTTATTAGGAATTTTCATTTCTGAAAGTACCGGCAATGGATTAGAAATCTCGATTCTGGAAATTATTAACAATTTCAATGTTTACTCCCTCAGACCCCAAAAAGAGTGTACATATTTCTAGTTTAGTTTGTCATAAAATAAATGTCTGACTTCCCAATTCTACTATTATGAGATGAGGAAATCCGTTATTCCCCAGGCTACAATTGTCACTGGTTTAAATTAAAAATGTAATAATTACATATTTCTAAAAAATGTAATAATTAAAAATTGTCATTTAAAATTTCAATTTGACATGATTAGTTTAGTTATTAACCAATTTTGATGGGACAAAAAATGCATTTTGTCTCTCTCAATCTTATCATATCCCAATTTTTACCAAATGCATCTTAAAGCAATAATGCAAATTGGGACAATGTCCAAGTCCCTAAATTAAGTAGTCACGAAATCGGGATTTGCCATAATTAAAGAAACGGTTCGAACATCTTTCTACGATTATATTGAATAATATAGTGGAAAGTCTTCATTATAGAAGATATTGTAAATGCAAGTTTTACATGTTTTGCGTTCTCATACAACCCACAACCGGCATATCCCTCGTTAAGTGTCCTCAGAACGTGCTTAGGTTTGATTCATCCAATTTTCTATGAAACTACAGAAAGGATCACTAATTAGCTTGAATTACAAGTGTTCGTACACACTACAACAAAATTGATTTTATAGGACGTCTAAAATATAAAAGCGTCCTAAAAAAATACTTTATAGGAGTTAAGTTTATAGGACCAAACCAAAAAGCGTCCATCTAATAGTGTTACAATAGGTTTATGAGACATTTTTAGACGTTTTAACAAAAAATTTAGAACACTTTTAAAATAAAGTGTCATATTTTACTATTTTATACGACACTTTTTCCTATAAACATAAGTGTCCTATAAAAAGGTAGTTTACAATACACTTCTCAAAAGTGTTCTATTAGCTAATAAGACACTTTAAAAACATCATACAAACCTATTGTAACGCATTCAGATAAGACTCTTTATAGTTCGGTTCTCTGAATCGCTAAGGAGTGAATCTTGTTTGGTAAAAATAGATGTCCGTCTCTTGATGGTTTCAAAACTCTCTGAATGATTTTGCATCTTGGACCTCCTGAACCATTCAATGCCATGATTTCATGTTGAACAATTACCGAACAATTATATTTCATTTTCCATTATATCATAAGAACCTCTTAAGCATTCGAACCACTTAATCATCTTGCACAAAATCATTTAGCAACTGCTAAACAACCCTAAAAGTATCACTAACAGATTTTTTTTTTTTTTTCATTAAAACGAAGGATCAAAATTTTCAAAATCTTAAAAAAAATATTATATTCAACTCTAACAGCTTCTAAATTTTGGACATCAAAATATTGATTATATGATTAAAATATTTCATACATTTAATAAAATATTATTTCTATCTCATAAACATTTAATCTCGGTTAGTTGGAATATAATAAAAATATAATTCATTGTTGATGAATACGTGAAGTGTTATTTGTTGTTTTAATCTAAATGCAGAAACATGGTTTTATTTTCTAAATGAATTTTAAAATGAAGCAGCATTTGTTAAGAAATCAAGTGGGATTCAGAGAAAAATTAAGGAGAAAGGGAAGAAATGCTATGATTTAACAATGTTTGGCAAAGATGCCTACCCTTCCAGCAAGGTTAGAGATTTTCACCATTAATAAAGCAACAAGAGGAATACAAGTTTTTTTTTATTTACCAAAACATAACAAACATTGCATATCATTAGGACACCAGTCAATCTTGATACAAGATTTTGAATCATGTGTGATCTCAATAGGTTCTCTGTCCCAAAACTCTGAGGAATTTGTTGTATGTTTGACTCTTTCTATTGGATCACCTTTACTTCTAGGAACAAGTTCGACTTTTACGTAACTACCTTTTTGTATGGAAAATGAAATGGTAGTGTGTGTTGACTTCCGCTTCCACCATAAGGTATGCCTCAATGAACCAAAGGATACATATATATAGCACATGCATCTGTTATCCCAAGCCTCCTTGGGAGTTCCATCAGACACCTCCAAAACATCTTCATTTTCCCTACCCATTACGTCCTCGATAGTAATTACATGTATTTCGCCAGGTATCCCTTCAACTTTAACGCATATTAAGAATCCACTGAATTCGTTGTACCAGTTCCTTGGAAGCTCTAACATCAATCTTCTCCTTGCAAAGTCTTCTAATCGAATTTTATCACCATGGAAAGAGAGACTGATGGAGTTATCATAAATGGAATTTCCCTATCATGATGAATATTATTTTGTTTGTCTACATATACAAATTAATTAATACTCAAATTCAACAACAAGACATATAGAGTCATACCTGAAGCATGGATTGTACTTTTCTCTCCACATCACCCAATATACAACTCATTGGAAGTGAGATTCTCCACAACCATTTAAGATCTGTTGGAAGATCTACAAGTTTAAGCTTTTTGCACCCATATGCTTGGAGAACAGCTATGCTTGATGGGAGATCTGGTAATTCTACAAGGTCAGAGCAATATGAAAGGTTGAGGACCTTGAGACTACAAAGTTGCAAGAGGCTGCAACGCAATCGTGAAAAATCATTTTGTTGTAGATTTAATACTTGTAGGTTGGATAACTCGCAAAAAACAGATGAGAAGTCTCCATTTATCCAATCGCACGAGCCAAGACCCAACCTTCTTAAGGAAGGTGGAAAACCAAGAAACTTCATGCTTACGATGCCTGGGTGAAGATTCTTGAAGGATATACAACTTAAATCAAGAACCTCTAAACAAGTTACATCACAGAGGCCTTCTGCTGGTATCTTAAGCTTTTTACATCCGGCGACAGAAAACTTTTTCAAATGTTTTAAGTGATGGAAGTTGCCTTCAATACTCTCTAGAGTTTTGCAATATTTCAAATGAAGAGAAAGAAGGTTGGTACAATACTTTACGAATGACGAGGGTACAACTTTTATTCCAGTATTGTCCAAATAAAGCTCTACCATGTTATCCATGTTCGTTTGGATCTCCGGGAACATGCAAAGTTGAATGCAGCAAGAGAGAATAAGAGTCTCCAACTTTTTCATCCCTCTGATGGGTGGAAACTTTTTAAGGCGGATACAATGATCCATATTCACGTAAATAAGCCTTTCATGATATCCAATTGATGGATGAACATCTGTTAACTGGTTACAATAGTTGAGTAGTAATCTTTCAAGACATGGAAGTCCGTCAAAATCTGGTGTCCTGATAAGGTCTTCGGAACGACTGAGGTTGAGCACTTTCAAATTTGGTAGATGCTGTTGTATCGAATTACACACAAGTCAACGATGGCAAAATACTTTTTTAGTAGCATAGAGTGTTGAGAAGCTAGGATACACAAAGATAGAAAGTAACTAATACAAATTAATTATATTATTCCAAAAACAAATTAAAATGGGGCATGTATTAAACTCGGGGCAACATCCTCTTCCAATTTTTGCAAAATGTTCAGAAAAAACCACCTATTAAAAATACACAATTGGTTTGATATATAAACTAACGCAATTAGTCACTACTTTATAATTCTTAAGAGCATTTATAATTATGAATAACATTTAGTTCTTTTAGGAAACTTAAAACTAAATTAGATTTAAAATAGAACACAAATATCATTGCTTAGTAATTAAAAACTTATATAAAGTTGCCTAAGGACACCGATATTCAACCACATCAACTTTCTGCACCGTTCATACAAGTAAATAGACTATATTATGTAAATTAGTTATATTTATAATTTATCATCCACTTTGCTTAATTACATAAACAATAAGAATTACCTTATAACCCTTCCAAAGTTGCTTTAGCGAGCTCAATTCCAACCCTAGATAAAATAGGTTCGTTGATCGAAAATTTCCTGGCAATGAAGTTGCTGGATATCCGTACAAATAAATCCACCGAAGTTCCTTCATGTTTGCAATAGCACAAGGAAGATTACGAAAAGCCGCATTCTTTTCCTTCTTTTGCGTCCACCCATACTCAGTTCTTATTGCTTCAATCCTGTCATTTTTCTGTAATAGAGAAACAAAATGTTGTTAGGGTTGATTTAGGCTATATCTTTATGGGTATACGTATATCATTCATGGCATATATAACTATATAGGAGGCTAGCTTAAACATTACAGTCGGCGTAGCACATATTGTTAAAACATCCTCCTTCTTCCAAACCCTGCTGTGTTTTTCTGGATTTCGGGGATTTTTTCCTCGAACGATGTAGTGTCCCATTTCTTGTATCAGATCATGCATATCAAACCATCCTCTTTCTGCCACAGTTATGAGAGCCTTTTGTATCAGCACCCTTACCCCTATTTTAGGGTGAAAACCACAAGCTTCGAGTATCTCCCATCGTTCATTAAAGTACATGCCTCCCCTAAAAAAACATGCAATATCTAGGAACAACTCTTTCTCCTCGGCTTTAAGTCCATCGTAGCTAATTTTTAGCGTTTCCATTATGTCATCTTCAGGGATATCTTTTAGTCTGGCCAAGGCGCTCACCCACTCACTCTTGTCTTTATCACAAAGAAGTGAACCCAAAACCTTAAGTGCTAACGGGAGCCCACGAGCATAAGAAACAACCTCTTTCGAAAGACTATCATAATCTTCTACACGGTTACCATGCCCAAGTGCACGCTTGCTAAAGAGCTTCATAGCCTCGTCATGACTTAACAAGCTAATATCGTATATCACATTTACTCCGTGAGTATTCAGTAAATGTCGATCTCTAGTTGTGATTATAATTCTGCTTCCTTCATTAAACCAATCACGTGATCCAGCTAGTGCCTCTAGATGGTTAGCATCATCGACATCATCAAGAACCAGTAAGACCTTTTTACGACGAAGCTTACTCTCTATCAACCTTCTTACATCTCCAATTACTTCCTCTTTTTTTTGTTTCAAAACACATGAGAGAATTTCTACTTGCAATCCTTTCAAACCATGCCTGCWTGATTCTTCCCGAACGTTACTCATAAAGCARAAACCATCGAACTTGCTGGAGATTTGATCATAAACAGCACGTGCAAGAGTAGTCTTACCACCACCACCAATCCCCCATATTCCAACCATCAGCACACCTTGTGAATCGATTGCTAATTTTGATTTAAAATCTTGCAAGCGATCCTCCATTCCAATCAGGTCTTGATTGTCACTTGGAATTGCCATACACAATCTTTTTGAAATTTCTTTAACAATATTTTCGATGAATATTGTCTCGAGCCTGGACATTGGATATACAAAGATAATTAACACAAATTCTCTAATTGAGAAAAAAACCATTAAACAAGGAAAATGAGTCTAAGGGGCTGTTTACTAAACGCTTATTCGGTAAGTGCTTAGTAGTCAATTTTTCTTAGCGGATAAAAATGACAAATGTCGAGAATTTTACCCTATAAGAGCGATGATAAGGATGAAGAGTCTTACCTGGTAAGCAAGGGTAACGACTCTTATCCGGGTAAGCACTTACAGGGTAAATTGTTATATTGTTTTGATGTACAACAATCTTACCCGGTAAAATAAATTATAATGTTAACTCCTACAACACGTAAGCGCTTGCCCAGGTAAGCATTTGGGTAAATCGCACCTAAGTACCTTTTAGATTTCATAAGGGGAAACTGACCAAAATAACCACTTTATTCGACAAAATTCATTTTTAGCTATTTTTTTATCAAAGTTTCCAGAATATCATTAATTCAACAAGTGGTAAAGCCATAACTTGCGAAATGTACGTTTTCCTATTAACAATAATTAAAAACAAAATAAAAAAGAGGTCATTCAACAGTTGGTTTGTTCGGCTCTACAAGTGGCTCATTTGGCTCTGCAAGTGACTCATCGACTCGTCAAGTTTGACCCAATTTCTGAATTATTGGGGAATGTGGGGCCTCACTTACGGAATTGATGATATTTTGGAAACATTGATGAAAAAATGGCTAGAAAATGAGTTTTATTGAGTAAAATGGCTATTTTATTCAATTTCCCTTTCATAATTAATCCAATAGAACATTTGTAACATTTATATGACAACCTAATCTTTATCATGCATTTTCCTTCTTCGTCTTAAATCTATACTACCACTTAAATATAGATTTTTTAGTGGATTTTTATAATTGTATGGAATATTGGGTTGTAATTGTTCTCTAAAAACATGAAAGGATTTGGGTTTATCCTTTGAAAGATTATATGGTACAAGTATAATTGTGAAGCATTAATTATATTTTAAAAATCAAAAAAATAAGATTACCCATTGGCGACATGTCCAGATAGGTTCCCTGCATCCGCAACTGCCTTTCTCCAGGATTCAACGTTTCTCCTCTCAGACTCGTGTTTGGCAAATGCTTCTCCATATTTCCCTTTTTGATTTCGGATTTCCGAGGGATCAACGTGATAAAATATGGGAATAACAATTAGGTCTCTCTCAACCTTGCATTTCATGATATGTTCAAGTTCTTGTAAGCACCAAGAAGAATGGGCATAGTTTTCAGAGAATACAACGACAGCAATCTCTGAGTCTTCAATAGCATTCAAAAGCGATGGACGGATGGTTTCGCCCCGAGGAAGTTCTTCGTCATCCTTGAAAGTGCCGATTCCTTGTTGTATAAGAGCTGTGTAAAGATGATCCACAAAGGTGTAGCGAGTGTCTGTACCTCTAAAACTGAGAAAAACGTCATATTTCCAAGAGGTGGGAGGAGTGGAGTGAAAAGACGACGATGAAGATGCCATCGAATGGTTAGTTTGTTTAATATTGATACTACGAAAAGGTTGAAGAAGAGAGATGGATGTGGTTTGAGGAGATGAATGAAGTGTAATAATTATAGATGGATGAGATGTGAGACGACGCGTTTGTAGCAGCCCCACCACATTTTTGAGGAAATTTCCTCCAACGTGTCTATCAATTTAAACACTGACGCATTTGCAGCATACCCCACCACATTGTAGAGGAAATTTCCTCCAATTTGTCTATCAATTTAAAGTAAGACAGACCCAAGGTGGTGCAAGTGGTCGCACGGGCCCCTGTTTTGTTCTTCTATCGTATTGTAAGATTGGTATAAGATCGTGAAAAGTGTCATCGTATCAATTTGTTGTGTGTTACCATATATATTATAAAACTACAATGAGGACATAAATTTTCTTTGATAAAATTGGTTTGTAAGGCTTTTCTTCTACCCCATAACTGAGTTTGAATTTCAGAATAATGATAATTTTGTAAAAATAATAATGAGAAATATTGATGGTATGTAAAGTAGTGATGATGGTGACAAAAGCACCTTTCTTTTCTCTCCCCACTCCCTCCGTGACTTTAATGATAGAGATATTTTAATTCAACTATATACTATTCCATTTAATTCAAATACTTCACATAATAATACTCTTTCTAGTTTGTAAAATCATATATGATTTTATATATTATCGATATTTTTTGTTTTTTATAAATAATTAACGTTCTCGTTAAAAACTTTTTCTCACATACACACACACACACACATATATATATATATATATATATATATATATATACTAGTTGTATATCCGTGTAATGTGGCGAGAACTATTAATTTTAACGATTTTGAAGTTTGACTGGTTTTATATTTTTATTAGAGAATACGTGTTTTTCTAATAATTATATAAATTAATTAATTCTATATTATTATTAATTAATAAAGTATTAAGAATACGTATTTTTTTTTATTTGTATATGATTTTTTTATATACGTTTATAAATATCTTTAAGATTTTTGGTT